GCATGCTGGGGCTTGTAGTGCCGCATATATTTTGTTAGGGTGGCAATCCATGATGGGACTTGTAGTGCTGCAGATTACATAAGGGTGGCGGTGTGTGCTTGAAATAGTAGTGTCATAGGTTACACTAGGGTGGCAGGGCATGCTGGGACTTGTAGTTGCATAGATGTCACTAGGCTGGCAATAAATGCTAGGACTTGCAATGGCATACATGTCACTCTGGTGGCAATATATGCTGGGACTTGTGGTGCCATAGATGACACTACAGTGGTAATGCAAACAGGGACTTGTAGTGCCATAGTTAACACTAGGGTGGTGGTGCATACTGTGACTTGTAGTGTTATATATAATACTTGAGTGACAGTGCACACTGGGACTTGTAGTTGCATATATACTTGAGTGACAGTGCACACTGGGACTTGTAGTTGCAAGCATATGTCACTAGAGTGGCAATGCATGGTGGGACTTGTAGTACTATCGATGTTACTAGGGTGGCAATGCATGCTGGGAGTTATAGTGCCATAGATATCACTTGGGAATCAGAGCATGATGGGAGCCATAGTGCCATAAATGTCGCTAGACTGGCAATGCATGCTGGAACTTGTAGTATCATACACCATAGAAGCAGTGCACGCTATGACTTGTTGTGCCACAGATTATACTAGGCTGGCATGCTTCTCATTCCCCTCCCCTCACTTGCCATGTGCACCTCTCCCTCGGGGAAGGAATTCCGCAGCGCTCCCCGGGGAACCAGGAAGTCCCGGCTCTTCAGGTTCTTCTGGCTGCTCTCTTTGAACCAGACGGCAGAGGGCGCCCCGCACTCCCGGAGGGCAGCACCGAGCACCCGCAGAGTCTCCGACACCCACAGCGGCCCCGACTCTCCGCTGTCGCCCGTCTCCATGGCAGCAGTTCATATGCGGAACCTTCGCGCTGTTCTAGAGTTTCCTGCCGGGAGGAAATAACCGGCTCCCCATTGCGGTGTTGAGGGAGTGACCTTACCCAAGTGCTGTGCTAGGAAGCCATGTTTGTTGTGGGAAGAGCTGGCAAATTTCAGAATCAGCAAGTGAGTGCAATGCAACATGGAACTGACATTTACCGACTTTGCAAAATAAGTTCTGGGGTTCTCACCCTCATTCCAGTTTTAGTCTATAGTAAGCCACCGGCCTAAGCTGGCATGCAGGACTTTTAAACTGAGTACCTGTTCTAAGATGGTATATCGGCACGTAGTGAAACCAGGGTATCAGGAGGATAGACCAGAGAGTCAGCAATGGCAGCATTAATATTCCTTACTGCCAGCAATACTATTAAACATAAATGCAGCATTAGATTCTGCAGGGGTGGGGCATTTGATTGTGTAGGGGTGGGGCATTCAGTTCTGCAGAGGTGGGGCATTACCACTGTGGTCTGCTGATTGTTCCACTGCACACTGAGTGCTGGGCCAAAATATCTGACTTTTAGGTGCATGGTTTAATAAAGACTATAGATTAGATTATAGTAATATGGTCCAAACAAGCTGCACTAAACTGGTCCCACGCTTACACATATATCCAGTGGCAGACAAAGTCAGGACCAATGTTTAGGCCTCCATTACAGTTCTAGCGAAATAAAAAGACCTATTTACTATGTATTCAATGACCGCTAGAAATAAATGAGAAGTGGCCAAATCTACATATACATGGACAACAGACTGACAATAATGGTGAATCTGGGGGGCCACCTCTACAGGGCTCGTCTAACTCTGTCTCCCAGCCCGGAAATAAGCAGCATAGAAGTCAATGGGGATGTGCTGCACAGGTGCGGCCCGGAGAAGGAGATGTCCATTGCAGAATGTAAACGAACAAAGGACGGGCCCTGTTGGAACTCGGTAAGTATTCATCTGTGCAGAGCGAAGGAGGGATCGTTGATGTCATCTTAAAGGGGCCAAAAGGATACGGGCACTTTGTTTTACAGTGACGCTATCCTTTAATTTTAGTGCACTGTAACAAGTGGTTAAAGCCCAATTACATCTTTAATTCCCACAGTAGCTTTTCAAAGTCCCACCCCCAAGGAGGTCTTTCATTCACTCCCATGACATCACAAGTCTTCCTCCTTCCATCTTGGCCACCGGCATGTTCTGCGCATGCCCGCCACCATCTTGGAGGCGGAGCGTATGACGTCACATGACAGTGACGTCACACGCCAAACTTGGGGTGGCAATATTGGCTGCCCGGGCGTTCCGCACATGCGCACCGCCATTTTGGAGTAGATCTTGGTATACACCTAGATGGCGGCGCTTGAACATGCGGCCGCCGCCATCCTGGTGTATACCAAGATCTACTCCAAAATGGCGGCGTGCATATGGCGATACGGCCGCCGCTCTTTCTCCAGTTACAGTGTTTCGGATTCGGAGGCTCGTTGCCTTCGAATTCAAAACAACATTAAAATTTGTTTCCTTTGACGAAACAAATGAAAATGTTTTTTTGTTTTTATTTGTTTCGTCCGGGGACAAATTTTTCTGTGATGGCAAAAAAGTTTCTTAAAATAACAAAATTCTAGCAGTGATTGTGGTTTTCGTTCATTTCCAAAAATCGAGTGTGAAAATCAAAAAATCAAACAGCATTGGTCCAGCCTCTTATCGAATGTTCTGATGAGATTATTCCTATGAACGTTCATATAAAAACCTAGCAGTGTATGGCCGGCTTGTCTTTCCTATCATGAATAGAAGGAACCTTCTGGAGCCAGAACAGGTTTCCTTTAAGGATCACGGGCCATATGTTGAAGGTCTATTCAGTGTTTTGCACATTATAATTACCCGGCAGTAATTAGCGGGCGCTCAGTCGGCTAAATTCTTAATTAAAGACCTTTATTCAGCCGGAGGTTACAAAAAAAATCCCCATTCACCTCCATTCTTAAGGTCTGTAGGATTGTCCCTTGTTGTTGTTAGTTTGTTGGACCGGTATACAAATAATTTGATTTGTGTGATATTTTGTGATACGTGGTGATGTGCCCAACCATTAGGCTCCGTCCACGTTTGGGCTCCCATTAGCATGTGTTCAGGCAACACGTGTGACACAAAAATGCAAAGGACAAGACACACGCAAAGCTCGCAGCTCAAACTGCTGCATGAGGATCATTGAAATGAACAGGCTGACGCACCGCAAACGCGGACGGATGTGCACAAAAACAAAACGCGGTCACTCACGCCACAAGTGTACGCCAAGTGTGAACTGGGCCTTAGGGCTATGTGTACCTTTGGGACCCTGTTTCGTGTTAAACCCACATTCAGGGTATCACATGAAACATGGTCACATCACAAAAGCTCTGCCAACCTCCATCCTGCCCCCCCCCACTTTCCTGAATCATGGGGTTCTTCTGCCCGCAGGCTGCTTCAGTGTGGCTGTACTTGGCTCCGCCCA